CACCCTGTTGATCTTTCCGGCAGCCTGGTCTTCTTCCATCTGAGGGGACAGGTGAGGTGTCACATACCCACGGGTCCCACAGCACCAGCCTTGCACAGGTGCTCAGTAAAGATTTGCTCGTTGATGGGATGAGTGAGGTGCATCCAGGCCACCTGAGGGCCCAGTGCTGTTCCAGCTTGGGGAGCTCGAGGGATCCTGTCCCTTTTCTTCCCTTTCCTCCTTTCTATCCAGCCCACCTCTCCCACCTCACCAGGAGGGCTTCTCCCAGCCTTTGACCCTCCATCATCTCCCGACCCTCAGGCTCACAGCAGCTCTTTTTCCCCACCCCAGCCTCTCCCATGCCCCAGGTGTGTGTTTTGAGGGTGTATGAAGGAAGGGGGCTGCAGAAGGGGATCCTACCTGAAGGCCTCTATGAGCCGCTCCACCTTCTGGGCTTCCCCCTGCACACGGATGTGAGCCTGGAACTTGCGCAGGGCCTCGTCCAGCTCCATGCCGGAGAAGTCCATCTCATCCACCACGCAGCTGAGGATAGGTGGGAGCAGGGTCATGAGGAGTCGGCCCCCAACTTCCCCCACCTAACTGGTGGCTGGAAGACCCCACCTTGCTGGGGTAAGGGAGGAGCTTTGCTCCTTGGGACCAAGTAGGAGGGGACTGGTGGGCCTCCAAGGCTTTACTCATCCCCCAGGGGTTTCCCTTGAATTAACCTAAGAGACCTTTGTCATACCTCTCATCTAACACAATGGCCTGTGTGGGGCCTGTTGTTTCCAGTTCACAGTTAAGAAACCGAGGCCCAGAGAGGTCTGTTGGCTGCCCAAGGCCACAGAGCTAGGTGGAGGGTGAACCTCCAAAGCCCAAGTCCTTTCTTCTCAAGTTCAGAGAGTCTCAGTGTTAGATTAAGGTCTAAGACTTCCATAAATACTACTACTATCCTATTCTTCCAGAGACCTGTTGGGAGTTTGCATATCTCCGGAGCTTCTCTTTCCAGCCCCCATTTGGGTTTCAGGTGACAGAACCTCCTCTTGTATGGCCCTCCCAGTTCTACCATGGGCTCCCAGGTCCTTCGTTTGCAGCCATGAAGCCCCAGCTCTCAGGGGAGGCTGTGGCCATTGAGAGGAAATGACATATAGTCTTAATGTGGGAGGGGACAGTGTGGAAAACACAGACTCCTGGCCAACCACTGGATTTTTTGTGACTTTAGTTTGCAGACTCACCACTTGGAGCCTCAGTTTCTTCTGAGAAGGTCAGAGTCTTGTTCCCCAAGGTCACTTCCATCTCTTAAATGCCCCCTCTAACCCTGGAGAGTTTGCCTCTGAATGTTCCCCTTTGATGTGTGGGGGAAGAGGAAGTGGGGGACATGTGCAAATCACCCCCACTAGGCAGTGTCATTCTTTTGGCTTGGGCTGCTCCTGGGAGCCCTCCCTTCCCCCGGGTCCTGCTTTACCGGCTTTGGGGAGCCTGTCCCCAGGGCTGTGGGCAGTGAGGCAGGAGGCTAGGCCTGGTTCAACCGAAGACCTGATTCTCCCTAAGAATTGCAAAAACTCACACAGGCCAACGAGGCTCTTGGCGCTGATTCCTCCCCTTTCTGCACCCATGCTCTATTCCAATCCTCTCTCTTTGTCCTTTTATACCCAGCCCTCCACTGCCCTCTGGAGGTGAGCAGCCCCCTCTCTGCTCCCACAGCCTCTGGAGACTCCACTACAGTGTCATGACCCAGGAATCAATGCCTTGTCACTGCCTGCCAGTCCATGGAGGGCTGGAGTACAGTGTGTGGCTCAGGACCCAGCTGAGGGACCCAGGAGAGTGGCTGCCCACTGGCAGGGATGAGCCCATTAGCAGGCCCACTCTTGCCATCATCCTGGCTCCTGTGTTGGGCCTGCTGCTTGTGCAGATATCTCAACTCAACCCTGGCTTTGCTGTCAATTTTTAGGAGAAAGCAAGGGGAAACATCCATGTGGTGGTGGTCGTGGATCTGGTGGTCCATGGGCTCTACCTCTCCCACTCTTTTCAGGGGGACCAAGAGGAAGAGAGCAACACTGAGGACTCCTATAGAGGAAGGGCTGGTAGGGGCTCTCCTTCTCCCACACCCCAAGGGCAGGGAGGATGGCCATCTTCGTGCTCGGAGCCCTTCCTGGCTTGGTCCAACCCAGACTTCTCTCAGGCTCATCCATCTGGGTAGTGAGTAGGTCAGAGGGTGGGGCTGGGAGAGGAGGCAAGAATTTGGCGCAAGCATGAGAATTTGCAAAGTCAGTGTCTGAGCACTTGAGACGGACAACTGGGTAGTAAGGGCCTCCAAGTTCAGCCTGATTTCTTGGCAGCTCTTGTCACCTCCTCGTTGACCCCCTCCCCAGTGGAACATGAGCTGTGAGGTCAGCATGATGGGGCCCACATCTGCATGTCCCTGTAGCCCAGCCTAGTCTGGAGTAATAAACCCAGCACTATTGAGCCATACAGGGATGCCCACTGTCCGGAGGAGGTGAACCAGTCATTCCTGAGCCAGGGAGATAGCAGAGAGAGGGAGGAGACAGAGACAGTGAGAGACTCAAAGAGTCAAGTGAGAGAGACAGAGAACAAAGAGACAGGGAGAGAGACACACAAAGAGAGTAAAAGAGAAGCAAGGAGGTGGAGAGAGACAGAATGACAAAAAGTGGGGGAGAAAGAACAAGAGAAAAACAGAAACAAGGGGAGAAAAGGGAAAGGAAGGGAAGGAGAGGGGAAGAGAGGAGAGGGGAGAGGGGGAGGAAAAGAACATAGGACAAGACAGAGGCAATGGGGGGAGGAAAACAGCAAAGCCTGGACCTGGTGGGCCTGGGAATGAAGTGAGGGAAAGGGGGAAAGCAACGCTGCAGCCTCTCATCCCAGGGGCTCCCACCCCGACTCTTGCAAGACCAAGGGGAAAGACAGTGAACTCTAGCTTGGTCAACCCTGTCTGTGGGGCCTGCCTCCCTGGGGGACCCCAGAATGCCCCCTTGTTCCCCTGGTCTGGCGTCTGGCTGAACCCCAGGACCACTTGCTTCTGTGGTTTATCTAGTTACTCCTTACTTGGCCCATGACCTCTCCCTGCAGGCCCCTGAACCCTGAGATCCTAACACCCTGTACCCTTCACCAGTGTCCCTCCCAGAGCCTCTGTGCATTTATTATCTGCCCCAGCACTCCGGTCCAGGCCTCACCCATGATGAGGAGAGTGGGTGCCCAGAGGCCCAACCACTGTGGGCAGTCGACAGAAGGAAGCGGTGGAGCAGCTGGGAGAGGGTGGGCTCTGCTCCGCCAAGCACGATGGCCTAGTTTCCAGTCCTTCACTCAGGTGACACGAAGCCGGCTCACAAGCTCTCCGGGCTGCAGTTAAAGGCTCCAGTAATGAGCCCAGAGCCTGAGAGTCAAAGACTGAGACAGGAGATGCAGCCAGGTGGAAACACCAGCCCACGAATGGGGAGCATTACATAAATCAATAACTGCCCGGGGATGATGACTTCAGGGGAGGATACCTGGGCAGTGGGGCAGGACAGTCTCCACATCTCACATCTTTGAAAACCCCATGGAAGGAGGTTTGTTAAAATGTAGGTCCCTGGACCCCACCCCAGGTCTACCCACTAAATATCTGGAGGCGAGTCCTGGGGACAAGCATTCTTCAAATTTCTCCTGCTGATTCTTAAAAAATGTAAACTGATAGCTGAGCTGAGTGCAAGAGTAGAAGGGAATCCGGCCCATGTAGAAGCTTTTAAAATGTGAATCTAACAACTCACGGGCCATCAGGGCAGCAGCTCATGGAGGCTCGTGTGCCCCCCCGCCCCAGCTCTCAGGGGCTGCTTTTGCAGTGGGGGTGGTGAGGGAGGGAAGGATGGAGGTACAGACAGACGGGGTCCCCCATCACATGCACACACACATTTCATGCCTTCCTCCTTGCGGTTGCCACCATGGGGCAGCAGTGGTTAATGGGCAGCTTGTGTCCTGGGGTTCTCAGATCCTAGTGGGAAGAAATCTCAATGTTTTCTGCAAAACCCCCAGATATAAGGAGGAAGCCAAGCTGAATGGTGGAGACAGGCACTACTACCCCCCAGCAGGCAAATCTCTTCCTCTGTGTAGAGTTGGAGTCGGGCCAGATGACCTCTCAGGGCTCTTCCCACTCTTACATTCTCTGGCAAGGACCCTGCCCGAAGCAGAGGGCCCCAGTCATTGTCTACGGCCCCATAGGGGCTCCAGGGATGGCAGGAGAGTGAGCGTCATTTCTGGCTGGCTTTGGAACACAGCTCCCGATGACTGCTTCTCCCCATGCCTCCCAGAGAGCTATCTCGTGCCTTCCTGGTGGGGCGAGTGTCTCCCGGGCCAGGTGGCTATGCTCTCTAACAAGCCTGCTCTTGTGGGACCTCACCTCAGGGGTCTCCATCACCCTGGGATCACCCATAATCCTTGCCTCTCCCTACAGCATGATTTTTTCTCACCCCCTAAGTAAAAATTTTGGCCTGTACCTTGACCTCTGCTATCTCTCCTCTACTTTTACCCTTTTCCATTGCTTCCTTTATTTTGCAGTATCTACCAGCACTTAAAATCTCCCCCTCCCTATCTTCTTTGCCAGCCTGGAATTCTTGTGGGGAGCAGATTGCTGATAGTTCTCCAAATCCACCCTGTTGCCTCTAGCCTGGAGAGTCAACTACCATCTCTCCTCTCTGATCATCTTTAAGGTGAAAAACAGCATGTTTCTGGGTGGCATTTTCTGGTGTATAATCTCCCCATTTTACAGAAGCCAAAACTGAGACCACAAGGGGCTTGCTCCATGTTCCCACAACTAGGTCTTCGCATCTCTGTGCCCTCTCCACTTTACTGGAGGGTCCTAACACTAGTGGGGAAGCTCCTCTGTGCTCTCATTTACTGAATAGTGTTCTTAGTGCCTCACTAAGCTTCCAATGACAATCTTCTCAATCCATTGTTAATGCATTGTTAATTATCTTGTTATTTTTATCACATGTGGGAAACTGAAGCTCACAGGAGAGCTGGCCCTGCAGGGGGACTGCATACACAGAATTCCTTGCTGGCATCTCCAGGGCCAGGCAAACCTGCCCCCGCGCCCCCAATGCCTGGTGCTAATGTGTCTCTCCCTGGGGGCTGCTACCTTATCCAGAGGCATGATAGGAGCCTGTGAGGGGCCAAAGGGGAGGAGCCACTTCTCTGACAGCAGTCAAGATGAGGCTGTGCGGCCACCCTCAGTTTTAGAGCTGGCCTGGGCACACAGCCCACAGCAGGGGGCTAACTCCTTGCCCTCTTACCTTCCCTTTTCTTGTCTGCCCTCTCGCCCTCCCGCCCTCCCTTTTTTCCTTTCCCCCTTCCTTCCAAGAAACATGCAGTTAGTGTCTCCTGTGTGCAAGACACTGTGCTAAGGACTGGTATAAGTGCAAACAACACAAACACAGCCCCTGTCCTGATGAGAGACACATGGAATTTAAAATAATTATTTCTTTATAGTTGTGATGAGTCCTATGTAGGCAAAAGACAGGGTTCCATGAGAGGACAAAGGAGACGTGTTTTATATT